AGTATGAGTTTGTTACCATGCCATTTGGGTTAAAGAATGCCCCTTCCGTATTTCAACGAGCTATAAATTGTGCTTTAGGTCTACATGGACGACGTTATGGTAGTAGCAGGTACCAAAGACGAAGCTTTAGAAAGACTTGAGGTAGTTTTGCAAACCCTAACTGAAGTCGGATTTTCTTTAAATATCACTAGATGCTCATTTCTTAAATCTTGTGTTGAATATTTGGGGTTTGAAGTTAAGGCAGGTGAAATAAGACCCAATCCAAGGAAAATAAAAGCATTGACTGATCTGCCACCCCCACAGTCTATGACCCAGCTGAGACAGTTTATTGGTCTCGTTTCTTATTTAAGGCAATTTGTCCCTCAGCTCTCACAATTGTTGAAACCTCTGTATGCTTTAACTTCCAAAAGCATATCGTTTGAGTGGAACCCGGAGCATGAGCAAGTACGACAAAGAGTAATTTTTATCTTGACCAATGAACCCGTGCTCACTATATTCGACCCACTTTTTCCGATTGAGCTTCACACCGACGCATGTGCTGATGGTTATGGGGCCATTTTATTGCAAAGGATCGAGAACACGCCTCGAGTGATCGAGTATTTCAGCAAAAGGACTTCCCCCGCCGAATCACGCTACCACTCATACGAGTTGGAAACGCTCGCAGTATATGTCTCCATGATGTATCTCCGTCATTACTGGCATGGTCGTCAATTTACGGTGTATACGGACTGTAATTCGCTCAAAGCTTCCAAATCCAAAGCCGAGTTAACTCCTAGAGTGCAAAGATAGTGGTCGCATAAGCAGGTTTTTAATTTCGATATTGAGTATAGACCAGGTGATCGAATGACTCATGTAGACTTTCTCTCTCGAAACCCAGTGTTGGAAGATCGTAAAAATTCAAAAGGTATAACCGAAAAGCGTATAAACTTGACAGAGATTACCGACAACTGGTTGCTGGCAGAGCAGCAAAGAGATGAAGAAACATCATATATCGTGTCCAAATTGCGCAATGGAGAACTTCCTGAGGATACAGCGAAAACCTTTAAGTTACGTGGTGGTACTCTATATAGGAAAATTCAAAGACATGGGAAAACTCACTGTCTTCCTATTATTCCAAAGCCCTTTAGGTGGTCTGCTGTTAACAACGTTCACGAGGCAATTATGCATCTTGGTTGGGAAAAGACTTTTGCAAAAATGTACGAGTACTATTGGTTTGACAAAATGTTAAAGTATGTCCGTAAATTCGTTGACAATTGCATTACCTGTAGGTTATCTAAACCTCCGACTGGCAAGGTACAAGCTGAGTTGCATCCCATTCCGAAAGTGAGCGTCCCGTATCATACAGTTCATATTGATATCACAGGAAAGCTTAGTGGTAAAAATTAGCAAAAGGAATACATAATCGTTCAAATAGATGCATTTTCTAAGTTCGTCCATTTGTTTCACACCACTAGACTAGACTCTGAAAGCTGCATCAAGTCAGTGAGGTCCTTATTATCGATTTTTGGGGTTCCTTCCCGTTTGATAGCTGATCAGGGGCGTAGCTTTGCTAGTACTGTGTTTCGTGACTTTTGCTCAGCACAAAAGATAGATTTACATTTGATCGCAACTGGCGCCAGCTGGGAAAATGGCCAGGTCGAACGAGTGATGAGTACTCTTAAATCTATGCTAACTGCGGTTGAAACGGGCAAGGGATCTTGGCAGGACGCTTTGTATGAAATTCAACTGGCTCTTAATTGCACTCCCAATCGGGTAACGAAAGTAAGTCCAATAGAGTTACTAACTGGAAAAGAAACTAGACCATTCGGTCTTGTACCCGTTGCTGAAAACGAGAGTGTGGTTGATGTAAATCTAATCAGAAATATAGCTAAGCACAATATGGAACAAAATTCCAAATATGACAAATTAAGATTCGATCGGAATAAAGCCACTGTCGTTAAGCATAAAGTTGGGGATCATGTCTTACTCAAGAATGAGGAGCGACACCAGACAAAACTAGACCCAAAGTTTAAAGGCCCACTTTTAGTTGTTGAGCTATTACCAGCCGATCGATATAAATTAAGAGCGTTAAAGGGCAATCGAACTTACAAATATTCCCACGAATTTTTACGAAAAATGCCTGAGAAGGGGATGACCACAGAGCATGACGAGGCGGTCATGGATGAAGATGATGTTGATCGAGCCGGTGATGGCTGCGATGATTTATAAAATAAGAAAATGTAAATGATAACTGTGTGCTATGTGTTGGCCGGTTAGTCAATTGATCTGTTTATAGTCGAGACAACTGTGTGCTATGTGTTGGCCGGTTGGTCGAGACAAGACTTAAATTGTTAAGTAAAATGAAAACTGTTAAAAAACTGAAGAGATAGTGATTGACGATGTAACAATGTGATTGCTTATTGGAGAAGCAAATGAAAATGGAAAATGAATATTGTTTGAATTGATGGTAGTCCGGATCTCAAGGCTTAAAATAATAAAAGTATTGTCCTTTGTTTACGTATGAGGAAGTGTAAGTTCGATCTGCTAGTTAAGTATTAAGAATTCTGTATAACTTTTGAACTTAAAAGAATAATGTTATTGAGGAAAATTGTTAAGAAAGGAAAAATGCTAAGTTTGATTTGTTATTCATAGATTAATAGTTTATAAGGCTTCTGATTAATGAAAATATAGTTATTTTTGCTTTTACTTCAAGGTACATATCTATATCTATTTAATATTGAGAGATAATATTTTGTAATGTTTTAAAGTTGGAAACACACGATGACGTGTGAAAGTCATGATGGCCGTGTCGTAGATTAGTTGGCCAATTCAAATTATAACAACTGTTAGCTTTGGTTTGTCTTTCGCTTCCCATTCGTTTTCATGTACTTCTGTGCTGTTCCTTCGGCTGTTCAAATGAAGGCAACAGTTCCTGTCGTCAACGTTAGTCTGTGCACTGGTGTGAGCGAGATAGAAGGATGCAGGTGTCCGCATCAAAAAGGAATAACGGAAAGTTCTCAGTAGTGTATGTATTGGAATGCGAGAGCGAGAGTAGAATAAAGTAGAGAGCGACGCTGGCAAAAGGGACGCAAGAGAGGGCATTCGTATTTGAAGAGCCAAACTGAAAAGATGCCACGCGCCAGAAAACGTTTCCGTTCGGACCAGCACGAAGAGCAGCCTGAAGCAGAGGACGATTCTTGTGAATCCTCGACATCAGAAGTGGGATTGCCCAGGCCTCAAACCGAAAGCGAAAATAATCTGAAGCTGCTTTTGGAATCACAAAATCGTACTTTCTCGGAACTTATAAAAGCCCCGAATGACGCAGTTACCGTTGTATTGCCGAACTTTAATCCTGATCGTGCAAGCGCGGATGCAGTATAATGGAGTGCAACGGTGGATTACGTTCTTTCCGAAAACAGTCTCTAGACTGCCAGCGCCCTCGAGATGGCTCTCAGTCGGTCCTTGCAAGGAAGCGCGTCTATTTGGCTTGGCACAAACGGTCTACCCTGGGATCACATGGACGCAGTTCAGAGAACTGTTTTTGCAGTATTTCGCCGGAACGGAGACCTTGGCTGCAACTGTGTTGAATCTGCTGAATGGTCGCCCAACAGAAGCAGAGTTGTAACATCCCTGATGTCCAGGTGGAAGGCCCTGACGGTAGAGCAAATTGCCGTTTCTGTTGCTTTGGCACACGTGGCTGGAGTGGACAAGCGATTGCGACGCTTGGCTTTTACTACAGAAGTCAATTCTCGGAACGAGTTGCAATAGGAGTTGAAAGCCTTTCCTTTTGATGATTTTTATTTTTATTGGAATTTATTGTCCACTTTATGCTTTTGTTTTTGTTTGACTTAATTAAACAAAATAAGTAAATGCTATTTCCATAAATTGCGCGGACTGTGGTGAGCGTCTAATCCTTACTTATCAATTTTGGATTACGGGTTGTTTTTACGAACAACTTTTTTTTCTTTAATAGTTAAAGACTGAGTAACACATCTAAGGTTTATCACTGCGGGTCGGCATTAGATTGGGCGTGCCAAACTTTTTATTAACTTAATACATTTTTGGTAAAATTTGTATTCCAGCATCAAAACTGTGGGCACAATTTTTTTAAGTCGATCGATAGCTACCCTTTAGTTCTGCAGTAGGGACGCGGTGACATGGCTCAAGGCAAAAAGCTTTTATGTTTTTTTTGTGCCTAAAACGCTGTGCCGCTGTTGACGTCAGCAGAGAAGTCGGCGCAGCGTAGAAGACTGCCTACGAAAACGATCGTGCAACAAAGAGAGGCAGATATTCGGAGCTTCCCTCTCTTTCTTTGTCTTATAATTTGCATGCGCTCTGCGCTCTCAGAGACAAGTTTCGGCAGGTCCGTTATTTCTTTTGAGTCTCTCCGTTATGTCCGGCTAATGTTTCGGCGGAAAAATTTTCGTGGCGCAGCGACATGTGAATGCCCTAATATTTTAGGAGCATTATTGTACATTGAAAAAAAAACAACTAATATTGTTTTATAAAAGTAAATTATTTGATTATAGTAAAATTAAGTAAATTGAATTTACTGTTAATGTTATGCTTACGTATTACACATTAATATTACAATATAACATTTTAGTTAAGTTATAGAAATTTAGTCCGTTAAAATGTATTTAAATATTTAAAACATTTTAATAGTACCATTTTTAAAGAATTCATTTTGTATTTTTTACTCAAAAAAGTAAAAATTATTTAGTCGGATATTTTTCTCTTTAGAAAGGGTATAGGTGCAGTGGCACGCGCCAAGAGCGAAGAGAAATTAAAAGAAATCATGTAAAGGGGTGAGAGGAATACTCGGTTCATTCTGTTTGAGTTATTGAAAGGGAAGCAAGCCATTTAAATTGTGCGCAGCAGATTTACTTCTTTCTTTTTTTAAAGTGAAAATAATAAAGTCAGGTAAGTGTTACATTAAGTTGAAGATGTTGTGCATTGATCTTAGTTTAAAGTATTAAGGTATTCAATGGGTTCCGTTAGCCGAAAGTGGATGATGAAATGTTTTGCGCCAATAAAAATCCTGCAAAGGGTGAAACACAGCTCTAAAAGGTAAATATGCAAATAAACAAATAAATCGAATTTTTCAAGCATATGACCATAAATTTTATCAGGAGCGTTGGCCAAGGATTCTGAGGACCCGTACAAAGGTTTAAGGAAGGCGATGACCAATGTAAAAAGCAAATTAACGTAAAATAAAATTAGGCTTACTAACAATAATTGTCCTTTAACAGAAAACCTAAATAACACTATTTAGTTAAAACAAATTTAAAAGTAATTAAAAATGTATGTATTTTAAATTATTTTTCATAAGTGAAAACTCATTGAAAAATTCTGATTTTCACAAGTGATTTGGGTGATTTTGGGACGTGTCACAGGCATGTGACAGGCAATACGAAAAATGAGTAAGGAACAAGTGAAATCCCGTGGGACTTCAAAAAATTTTCATTTGAATTTTCACTTGTGAAAATGCGGATTTCAATTGGAGTCATTTGGAACATTTTTTGAGGGACACTAGAGTGTACAGGGAGCCCAAATTATTCTAGAAAATGCGGTTTTAAAGCTGAACTTTTTTGGCTGTAATCTAGTGTTATCAGACAACATTAGACTGTTGGAAATAGCTTTACATTATGGTTTGGCAGTTTATTCTCAGTCTAATACGGATTCCGAACACCGGAACAACATGGGCAACTGCGTCCTCTATTTAAAGAAAATAAGTATATTGCTATACCTATGACAACGGACAAGCTAAACGTCAGAAGCCATTACAAGAATATAGGCAACATGCGTTAAAACTGTCGCATCTCTCGCCAGACGTGGCCCTAAAATATGTTTCTGAAAAAGCTGCAGGGATAAGGAAGAAACAGAAAGGCCTGTGCAGCCTCAGACAGAAGCATTTACTTAAACAAATTTAAAGAGATTTATTAAATCTTTCGGGTGTGAGCTATGTTAACCAACCGATTGAAAGGTGGGTACTGAGAACGGGAAACTCAAAAATTAGATCTTTCGGTATCACAATGTACCTACAGAGGTCTATGAGTATCAGGCTACGGTCTGACAGCCATCCAAATATTAACATAAAAACCTTGGTAGAGAATGCTAAAACCGTTACACAAGGTAAAAAAGAAAAAGCTTTGGCAATTTTTATAAACAGTATAATCACACTAGAGCCTTCGAACGATTTTTGTCATATACTATAATTCAATTACTGAATCATCGACATCAATAAGTATTTGTTAATTGCAAGCACTTTCGATTATATAGGAAACATACAAACAATCACTTTCTTCTCCTGATGCGTCTAATGCCCTTGTAAAATTACTTAGCCAACTGGAAGGTCAGGGTCGAACAACGTTGAAAAAGAATCAAATTCGTTAAAGATAATTCCTCAGTTTCTAAACCATGGATTTATCTCAGGAAACAATTGTGAAAGATTGTCCTTCATTTTATTTCATTTAGCTTTGCCATATTTGCTATCTCTTCCAATGATCGCAGAGAGTGGTTTTCCTTCCAAATATTCTCTGGGGACATCGTCTTATCTAAAACATGGTTATTTGATATTGTATTATGGTTAATTTTGGCCTTGCAAAACGCAATGGTCATGCAGGACAGCGAATGCATTGTTATTGCCAATAGAACTGGTAACCTATACTTGTTTCAAAGCATAAACAGCAAGTGTTTTTCTGGGAACGAACAATGGTTTTTAAACGCCTTAACAGCATTTCATCGCATTTTCCTCTTGAAGTGCGGGAATAAAAAGAAATCGGCCTTGACAGGGCTCTACGGGGATGACCCATAAATTCGACGATCTCATAAACGTCTTTTGAAACACCGTGATTGTATTTTTTTCAAAATTTCTTTGTACCAATCATCCACACGAGCCTTTTTTTGAGCGATTTTCAAAGTGTGCGGGATCCAAAGAAAAACCAATCTTTTTTACAGCCAAGCAAAGGCCAAGGATGCCTCTATCTCACGGTATGTCACTTGACGATCTTGCATTATAAAGATTTAAGTTCATCGATGCACTCTTGTCGAGATAATTCACGTCGAAAGACACGAGTTAATTACATTTTTCTGCCGAAGTAAATTTTTAATTAATCGTTAATCGATATCAAACGTGTTCACGTGAATAAGGTATATGGAGCTTTAATCGATAAAAGTCCGAACTTTATTTAAGGAAAAATGACAATTGGACCTAATATGGCCGAAGTACATTTTTAATTAATCGTTAATCGATATCAAACGTGTTCACATGAATAAGGTATATGGAGCTTTAATCGATAAAAGTCCGAACTTTATTTAAGGGAAAATGCCAATTGGACCTAGTATGGCTAGAAGTGACCTAGGGCAGAAACTTAAATAGCAGCCCTCGTATAACTCATATGAAGGATTTTGGTTCTATTGCAGTTGCTCTGTACAAAGGTTCATGAAAAGGAAGCAAGTTTCAATGAAAAGGCAAGGATTATACTATGGTTGGATATACGGTGGCTGCCGAAGGATATCGTCTGTACGATTCAACTACTCGACTTGTAGTCGAAAAAAATCCTATTTAATGAAAATCATGATGCAGTAGATGACGTAAAGCAAGTTTCGATTTAATATAAACTGGTGGAGATTATAGCTCTTGTGAGAGTTCCGATCAGCTCGAGAGTGCATCAGAAACTGAAAAAGAAAAGGATAAGGACAACAAGGATGAGGATACAAAGATTGTGGAAAGAAAAGATGGGAAAGATGACAACAAGGATGTACGTGTAGGGCATGGTCGACCACAGCACAATCGGTCTGACCTAGAAATCGACGTGTGATCGGATGCAAATGGGTAATCAATTTCCCTGGGCCATTCGCATTATATAAAGGATTTACTGCAAATACAGGCTGTTGGTAAGCTTATGTGGCTTGCACTTACAACCGGTCCGAAACAAAAATAAAGCATCGTCATATCTATGCTTCTGTCAAATTGATTTTTTATCCTATTTAAAAAGTGGTGGTAATTTCGTTATTAAAATAATAAATCGTTTAAAAACCATAAAGAACAAGGAGTAACGCTATAGTCGAGTGCCTCGACTATCAGATAACCGCTACTCAGCTAAAGGGGCCAAGGGGAGATGGGGATATGCAATCAGCAAAGCGAGATTGCAATACGCCAGCTACCTGCGATCTCAATATATGGATATTTGAGCGGGCGACAGACTTAAGCGTAATGGGTCAATCGATAGATATTGATGAGAACAATACAGTGTAGTTACTAGTATTAAAACTGTAGGAGCCCCAGTTTTGGACGGTTTGTGGGCGTAAGAGTGGGCGTGGCACATTGCTGAAACAAACTTGCGCTGCGTAAGAAGCTCAGGAATCTGCACGCCAAATCTGAATAGCCTAGCTCCCATAGTTTCCGAGATCTCAGCGTTCATCCGGACAGACGGACATGGCTAGATCGACTCGGCTAGTGATCCTGATCAAGAATATATATAGTTTATGGGGTCGGAAACGCTTCCTTCTGCCTGTTACATAGTTTCCGTCGAATCTAGTATACCCTTTTACTCTACGAGTAACGGGTATAACTATCAGGAACACATTCACAGAAAAAAGAGTTTAGGACACTATAAAATAGTTCCGTGGCACTTTCAATATCCAAGCAATTATATAAATTTTTCCAGTTATATTGTGAAATCAAGTTGTTGAGTTTACTAAAGTCACATTTACGAAAGCATCTACTTTTAGTTGGAGAAAGTGAAGGAGAGAGGGTATCAACGCAGGGAAGACAAATTGTAAGTTCTAATGTGGGATGATACCGGTCTTCTGGCACAACTAGTGGGTCAATTCTAGATACCGTGACTTCAGACGGATCTAAAACAAATACAAGATCTAAATGTCTGTTTAGTGAGTTACGTATAAAGCTAACTTGCTGTAATGATAATTCTAACAGACCGTCAACGAAGTCATGGTCAGATAAAGGGGTAGAGACAAGTAAGTCAGTGGAAAGGGACCAAGAAATGTCAGCGAGATTAAAATCACCCAAAACAATTAAAAGATCCATTTCGGAAAGATGAGATAGAACAGTTTTTATTACAGACAAATGTTGCTCATAAATTGTTAAGTCGGATCCAGGTGGAATATAAGAACAAGTTACACAAATAGAAAAAGATTTCAAAGAAACTTTAACACCAACGAATTTTATGTCATTGGGACTAAGAAAGTATATTCTCTCCGATGTTAAAGTAGAGGTAATAGCAACCAGCATCCCACCCCCCCTAAGAGGAGAGCGATCAGTTCTATACGTATTAAAATTTTTGAACGGAACTTCAGAGTCTGATATCTCCGGTTTCAGCCAAGTCTCAGTAAAGGCCAGAATGTCTTCAGAAAAGGCAGAGGAGTCAGCATAAAGCTTAGGTAGCTTCATATTAAGTCCCCTAACATTTTGATAGGCCAAAAATAAACTGCTCAGTTTTTTGGCGCAGGTACAGTCGTGGAAGGCCTATTATTAGTTCTCCGTCTGTTTGGAACAAATTCTTTAATGACCAATTCATCATTAAGTCATTTAGTACATTAAATACTTCCGGAGGAGCAGATATTTTAAATGAAGATATCCTACGAACATATGGAAATTTAAACTCCTCCACTGTGATGTTTTGAGATGGGAATTCCTGTTGTATAAATTCAAAGACAGACAGAGACACAAGTAATTGCTTCCTATATGGAACAACCGAGTGGCTCTTTCTTCCACCACCAGCAATCTGAACATCGTTCGTCTGATTATCGAGACTAGGGACTCCTATAGAGCTAACTTCACCTGTTGGCACAGAAAGCTGCGTAGGGTTTGACCCCTTAGGCTGACTAGCAGAAACAGGAACTCCTCCAGAGCTTTTGGTACCGATGGGTACTGCTGTCGGTGAAGCTTTAGGTCCCACAGACCCAGTAGATGCCAACATAGCTGCCGTTACCTTTCCGATCGGGTAAAAATATTTGGAGCTAAGTTGGGATTTGGAACTGATGCCTTTACGGGAGCAGATTTTGAAGGAGCGGTCTTTTTGCGTTTAGGTGACCCTACTGACATTTTTTTATTATCAAGGTCCGCCTTAAACTCTTTAAAATCAGCAACTACGCTCATAAGTTTATCAAAAAGTTTCATAAATCGATCATTGGTCAGCGCAACCAAGCCATCTAAATCACGGTCTATTTCAACGCATGAGGCACAAGTCCACGAAAAACCAACACGCAGATCAATAAAATCTTTTACTCTGCCAACAAGTCCAGTACATTTTGGATGTATGACTATATTGCAGAGACGACAGTAAATAAAAACGTCATTAGGTGACGATCCAAACTGACAATCTTTTTTGGAACAAAAAAGAGCAATTTTTTTAAGTAGTTCAATTTAAGAAAAAGAGTTTTTTATAAAACCAAAGAATCAAAAGAATTATAAATACCTCACTTAATTTGACACTGGGATCAAACAATAAAAATGTAGACACACAAGAACACAAAAGTATAAGAGCGCGTAGAGACTGCGAGAGTGAGAGAGCGTGACAGAGTGGCTCGACTGAGCGTGGCTTGCGAAACACAAACAAAATATACACGACAACAGTTTAGACGACAAGAAACGGGAGAGAGGTTACAAGAAATTTATGAAAAACAACAACAAAAGCTATTGAAACAAATGCAGCACAGCGTACAGAAGTTACAATAGCAAAATGCACAGGCTAAAAACACAGTTAGGTTTTGTTAAAATTTATATAATAAAATAGACAATTAAACATAAACAGTCGATTTAAAACACAAGCACGGCTAATTATGTTGGACTAAGTCACAAAGCAAGGCACCAGTATCACAGATATTAATGACAAATTGACAAAAATCACAGAGCACAAGATAAACACAACCGGTCACAAGCGACGCTAAATCGATTCGAGGTACCGACGCTTTTTTTTTCAACACGTTATTTTCTAAAACATCTGCCATAGAAACGAACGGATAATTAATGGAAAAATAATAGGGAAATAATTATAGCTCCGTATTTTTAAACATAACCTATTTTACTGCATAGCATTTATTTTATTATTTCAGAACTACGAATTTGTTTTGATTTAGCAAAACATAGTAAACAGAAATGTAAAGTTATATTAGTATTTTTGCTCTGTATATAGATTGCTCCCATAGAAACGACGTGAAAGGGTATATAAACATCGGATTACCGAAGTTGGCTTCCTTTCTTGTATAAATTAAAATTTTAAAAATATATTTTTTAATTAATACGCAGTCGGCCTACTCAACAAAAAAGATGACTCAGACTATGATCTTGTTCCACCTGATGGTGGATGGGGTTGGCTTGTGCTTTTGGGTTCGTGTATGACAAACATTCTAATCCCTGGAACTATTAAAAGTTTTGGAGTACTGTTTTCGGAATTCACCGACGCTTTTAACTCTTCACCCACAAAGGCTGCCTGGATACCGGCCCTGTGCTATTTTCTGTACAGTTCGTTGGGTAAGAGGCAACAGTACTTCTTAAGGCCTCATTTATAACTGTGTGAACTTATTTGCAGGCCCAGTTTCGAGCATATTGTCTGTAAAGTACTCTTATCGCACAGTCACCCTTCTTGGTGGAGCATCTGCGTCACTGGGAATGATACTCTCCTTCTGGGCATCATCTATTGAGTACTTGTACATCAGGTAATTTTTTCAGCGCAGACATATATTTTAAAGTGATTATTACTTTTGTTTTTCAGCTATGGCGTTTTGGTCGGAATTGGGGCTGGCCTTTCTTTCCCACCCACTGTCTACATTGTGACCTCGTACTTTTCAAAGCTTCGCGGATTAGCTAATGGCTTGTGCATTTCAGGCAGCGCGTTGGGCAGCATTATTCTTCCGCCCCTGCTTCGCTGGCTACTCGAGACTTACGGTTATCATGGCTCCTGCTTAATCATGGGTGGCATTACTCTGAATGTATTTGTTGCTGCTCTTTTCTATGAGCCTGTTGAACAGCACATGGTTCGAGTACCTCGCATACGCCAGGTTTTGGAAGACATTCCTGAAGAAGAAGATATTGGCATTGTGATGAAGTTCGAAAATGTTGACGAGTCTGCCCCAAAAAACGAGGAGACTGATAAGCATTTGTTACCTTACAACTCCCCTCCGTCACCACTGTATCCACCCGACGATGAGAAACAGTTTGTGCGGAGCGCATCCGCAGCGGTTGTTCAAAGTTACTTAAAGTCTGGAGACGAGTTTCAGTCTCGATCTCGTAAGATCAGTACCCCAGTGAGGTTACCCCAAAGAAATCAAACTTTTACGCCTGGCCAATTGAACTCGCAGTCTTCCTTGTACGCAGTACCCGAGGGTCGCTCGAGCTCCAACAAACTTACTCTGCGGAATTTATCTAAAACACGGCTGTCCAAACGCTCGCCTTCGACCAGCAGTTTTTTATACGTCAGTACACCATATCATGGGAGCACATTGTCTTTCCAGCCGAAAGAATTTTCCTCTCATTTGTCGCTTCGCTCTGTGGGTAGTAGTGGAATAGGAGGTCCTAGCGGCGACTCGACCAGACCAGATGGAACTCAAGCTGTCGAATCACGAGGCAAAGACAAGCAGCCACAACGATCGAAGTTTTTCGATCTAAGCCTTTTAAAAGATCCTATGTACTTGGTCATACTTATTTCAAATTCTACAAATGCCATAAGCTATACAAATTTTATAATTTTGCTGCCCAGTTTTGGGGAAGCTAGGGGGTTTAACAAATCATTATCTGCCTATCTGCTTTCCGTTGTCTCTACGACAGACCTAATTGGACGTATTGGAGGATCAGCACTTTCAGACATGGGATACATACCTAAGACCTGGTACTTTGTTGGCGGCTTGTCCATATCGGGACTTTCCCTTGCGCTTCTACCTTTTGCATGGGCTTACAGTTCAGTATGCTTCTGGTGCGCACTGTTTGGTCTAGCATCCGGAATCTACGTCGGAATCACTGCCGTGATTATGGCAGACATGCTTGGCACGGAAAGATTGACTTCATCCTATGGTATAAGCCTTTTTGTCAATGGCTTGCTGCAGTTGGTTGGGCCGCCGCTGTGTAACTACTGGTTCGAGGCGGTTAATGATTATAATCCTCTTTTCCACGCCCTGGGCTTGACGCTCTTAGCTGGGGCCAGCCTTTGGAGTTTTATGCCATGGATTAGTCGTCGCAGAGCCAAAACGTTAGAACAACTAGATGCAGATATCGAAGAAGACGCTGTCGATAGCTACTAAACGGGAGGAAAACTCTCGTATTAAACAACGTACAATAACAGTTAGACTTTAAGCTTACAATGCCGTATTAACAATGATGAATATATGTGGGCATGCCTTATACGGCCAGGACTATGAGAAAAAATCAATATTTTGGAAACCAATGATTTGTACTTCAGCTTAGTCGTAGTTACTATTACGTATAATAAAATTATTGTTTCCTTAACATCAACTTTATAATAGCAAGGCCTTATAAAAATAAAATAAAGGATTTTATAACTATTTTTCTATAAATATGCAAAAACAAAATAAACAAAAAAAAACTCAAACAATGCTCAAAAAAAAAAGACTATTCAATTCGAATAATTTACGCGTATTGGCTTTTTGTTTGGTAAATCATATTTAATATTGTTGGGGCGGTGCGGCTTGATCGATGAAATAGGTGAAGCCCCAAGATCGAATGGTACCCAAAAACCACGGGAGTATTTTGGGGTTTTTACGAGTAGGTGTTTATTAGTACACTTTGAAACATGAACTGATTAAGCCTAACTTAATTTAAGCGCTTCAGAGCAGAGCGGAGACTTAAGGGAGAGATGGAGAGGGAGAGCGGACGGCAGTGCGAGCGCGCGAGATGTAGGCATCTGGATAAGACTGCCGCTCGACACTGCCTCCTGAAATTAAACGCCCTTTTGACGTAAACACAGTCAACTGTGGCCATAAATCGGGTTAAAGCGGATTTGACTAATGTTGCCATGACGTAAAATAACTTAGAATTTTAATTCAGTAAGGAAACGAGCTTAAATCCAATTGGAATTTAGGAACCAATCAAGACTGTAAATATATACGGTCACACTGTCGGATAGGCAGAGTCAATAAATATTTATTATATCGGATGGTCGGACTTATGAAAGAATTACGGACTTTAATATTGTATGTTTGGAAGGCACATTTATTGTGAGCTCTTGACCCACTGTGCACTGGCGAAAATATCGATATACGTATGTATGTACACTGTACATATGTACATACGAGTATGTGGGGTGCGAATAGCGGAATAACGTTGCGGGAATTGGAAAGACTTCGCTTATGTTTGTATGTCGGTGCGTTTGTTTGTCACCTGCACAACTAAATTGCAAACGATTTGCTGGAGTAAATTTGTGGAATTTGTAACTTTGTTTTTAATTTTAGAAATAGTTTAGCCGTATTTATAGGTCGAGAAAAGTAGTTGGAGTGGACTGTATTAGAATATGTATGTAAATATACACACACGCAGCTGGAACACAGTAAAAAATAAAGAGTGCAAATCTTAAGGAAAAAATGTTATGATCGGGAATTTTTTACTGTGGCTGAGTTATATTTTACACACAATTGGAATTGAAAATATATTTAAGAAATATTTTAGTTGAATAGTAGCACTGAAATATCTACTGGAATTGTTTCAAGTGTAAAATTGTGGGCAAAGGAAACTGGAATATTGTCGGGCACAAGTAACGGAATTGAAATATATGATGGACGTTGATGCACTACGAGCAGTACAAACAAGTGGCCCAACGACACCAAGCACGTGCTTGTTACGCGCGGGGCCCTTTTATCAATTTGGGCAAAAAATACGAGTTCGCGAGGAAGATACAAAAAACAAATAGAGACGGGACACAAATGAAAATAAAAGAAGCATCTAAGAATGAAGCAAATGAGTTAAAATATTAGTTTTTAATACCGGGATAGAAGTTGAAGTGCAAATTAAATGATAAAGGTTGTTATAATTATTACACAGAACGCGAAAGGGCTCGTGCAGACAAAAATTAGATGTACATCGTGGCAAATATAGGGGATAATAATTTCGTGTTAGTCTAACAGGAACATTGAAAGTTAGGCGGCTTACAAGTTCTACAGAATCAATATCACCTCTTATAAGATTTTGCATAAAAATAGTACCAAGCATTGTTCTACGATTTGCAAGGGTAGGTAAATTAAGCAATAGTAATCTACTCTGATAGGTAGGTAGCCTTATGTTTTGATCCCAATTCAAACTACGAAGGGCAAAAAGAAGAAATTTTTTTGTACCGACTCAATACGGTCAATATGCACTTGATATTGTGGACTCCAAACCGAAGAACAATATTCCAAAATAGGACGGACGGGAGGTAAATAATAATTTGGTTGTATAAGGGTCATCAAATTCTTTTGACCAACGCTTATTAAACCCAAGAACACTCATGGCCTTGCTGACAGTGGACATTATGTGGCAGTCAAATTTAAGTTTTGGGTCCAGAAGAACGCCTAAGTCATTAACTGAATATATACGGTCGAGTGGCGTATTTTGAAGAGAGTAACTAACAAAAATAGGAGTACCCCTATGAAAAGTCATAACGTTGCATTTAAGGCAGTTCAAATTTAAAAGGTTATACTCACACCATCCCTGAAAACAATCAATATCTGACTGTAAGTTGAAACCCGACGCTATATCATTATGTGATAAACAAAGCTTAACATCATCAGCATACATTAGTACACGAGAGTGTGTTATGATAGAGGGAAGAGCGTTAATAAACAAAGTAAACAGCAAAGGGCCCAAATGACTACCCTGAGGCACTCCAGATGTCACATAGATCAGTTTTGAGGCAGCGTTCTTGAATATAACCCTCTGAGTCCTACCATTCAAATAACTTGAGATCCAAGTTAATAGATTACATGGAAACCCAAGCTTATTTAATTTGAATAAGAGAAGAGAGTGGTTGACAGAGTCAAAGGCCTTACTAAAATCTGTGTATATAACGTCAGTCTGCATTTTATTCTTAAATCCATTTATTACTATAGATGACAATTCCAGAAGGTTGGTGGTGGTCGATCTTCGCTTAACAAAACCATGCTGACACGGTGATATTAGCGAGGATCATAAATGTCGCAAATGAGAAGTATTAATACGTTCAAATGCTTTAGGAATTGCCGACAATTTAGAAATACCTCTGTAATTCTGGGCATCCGCCTTTCGCACCCTTTTTGTGAAGTGGAATGATAAAAGAGTCCTTCCAGATAGTAGGAAAAACTGACGATGAAATAGACAAATGAAAAAGTTTGAGAATCGGTTTACATATGGTTGACGCACAAAACTTAAGCACACACCCGGGGAGTCCATCAGGACCGGGAGAATAAGTTGGCGTTGTTTTCTTACGAGAGAAATTTCCGTAATTTCAGGGGTAAAGATACAATTTGCATTATTTAAGGGATTAGGGTAGTTAGAATTTGACCAAGCAGCCGAACTATAAGTAGTTTGGAAAAACTCGGCAAATAAATCAGCAATTTCAGAATCCGTCGATGCCTCCATTGAGTTAAAACGTACCGATGAAGGCAATGCTGACGACTTACGCTTGGCATTGACAAAGTTATAAAACTGCTTCGGATCATTTGAAAATTCAAATTTACATCGACTTAAATACATAGAATAGCAATGACTATTGAGAACATTAAAATCCGATCGAGCCACCACATATTTCGAAAAATCAGATGGCTTACCCGATTTCTTATACTTTTTATAAGTGTTTGTCTTAAGGTTTTTAAGTCTTTGAAGCGCATTGGTAAACCAAGGTGGCCTGTTTGTCTTTGAAGGAAACCTATCAGGAACGCATTCATTAAAAAGGTATTTAACACTATATAAAAGTGTTCAGTGGCACTTTCAATATCCATACAATTGTACAATTCTGTCCAATTATATTGAGAAATCATGTCGTTAAGTTTTATATAGTTACATTTTCGGAAACATCTCACTTTAGTTTGAGAAACTAAAGGAGAGAGGGTATCAACACATGGGAGGCAGATTGTCAATTCCATTGTTGGATGATATCGGTCTTCAGGTACAACAAGAGCGTCAATTCGTGACTTCAGACGGGTCTGAAACAAACACAAGATCTAGTTGTCTATTTAATGAATTCCGTATAAAGCTTACTTGCTGTAACGATAATTCTAGAAGACCATCTACAAAATCATTGGCGGATAGAGGTATAGCGACTAGTGAGTCAGTAGGAGGAGACCAAGAAATATCAGGGAGATTAAAGTCACCCAAAACAATCAAAAGGTCACTGTTTGAAAGAAGGGATAGAACAGATTTTATCGCAGACAGGTGGTGCTCATAAATTATTAAATCAGAGCCAGGTGAAATATAGGAACATGTAACAAATATTGAGAATGATTGCAAGGAAACTTTCACACTAACAAATTCAATTTCATTAGGAGTATCAGAGTGAATTCTCTCGGATGTTAGGCTAGTGCTAACGGCAATCAGCACACCGCCTCCCCTACGTGAGGAGCGATCGGTCCTATAGGCATTAAAATTGTTTGACAGAACTTCATTGTCAGATATCTCTGGTTTCAGCAAAGTTTCCGTAAAAGCCAAAATATCAGCAGTAAATGCAGAGGAGTCAGCATAAAGCTTGGGTAGCTTCATATTTAGTCCCCTAACATTTTGATAAGCCAAAAATAAACTTTTTAGTTTTTTGGCGCAGTGGAAGGTCTGTTATTTGTTCTCGGTTTATTGGGAACAAATTCTTTTATTACTAAATCATCATTAAGTCAAAAGCTTTCAGAAAGTAGTACCTTAAACACATCAGGCGGAGCAAATATTTTAAACGACGATATACTACGAGCATATGAAAACTTAAATTGTTCAACTGAAATATTCTCGGATGGGAATTTTTCACGAATAAATTCCAAAACATCCTCAGATGTGGTATCTGGGGTGAATCTCGAAACAAATAATTGTTTTCTATGTGGCACAACTGATAATTTCTTACGTCCCCCAGCAGCAGATTGCACCTCACTAAGCTGAGAGCCAGAAACAGAAACGGTAACTTCTGTACCTATAGGAACGGTCGGCACCGTAGCCGGCACTGAAGGTTTTTTTCCCACCCGACTTCGAGAAGGAGTGACTTCACCTAAAACAGCTGTATCCATAGGCGCAGTGGGTTCACTTACCACAGTGTCAACAGAGACTGCTGCAGCCACCAAGCTCGGATTTGGGGTGGATACCGTGACCGTATTAACTGCCGCTAAGCTGGTTTTTTAAGTTTAGGCGACTCAGTTAGTAATTTCTTATTATTAAATTGGGCACAAACGGAATTGAACCCCTCATTGAGCTGTTTAAAAGCACCAGAGAGATTCAAAGGGCTGTCTCGAGTCTGCTTCATAAAGCCGCTCATCTCAACAACCATTTCCTTGCAGGATCCACATGACCACATGAGTCCAGAATTCTGATCAATGAAGTCTTTGACTCTACCAGTAAATCCTGCGCATTTAACGTG